AAACGATCCAGATATCACTCTCACATGATTTCAGTAGAGGCAGGACATCTGGACTGCTCAAGAGGTGTTCATCTTCTCTAAATTCGGCAGAGGAACGTCACACGGATTAAGGTAATCCTTTTTTCCCTCTCTTCTTGAACCATACGCAAAATCTAGGGTGATCCTTGAGTGGGTTTTTGGGAAAATTTTTAATTTCCGCTGCCTTTCTATCCCAAAAACCTATCAGTGGTATTAGAGCATCCCTAGTATTTTTCGTATGACTTTATGTGTTTTTGTTCATGGATTGATCTTGGTTGTTCGATTTAAGAATATGCGATATTCTAGTTCGAATTTTTGGTGAGTTTTGTGTCTTTTATTGACCTATAGAACCTGGAAAAATTTAAGGTTTTGATGGTTAAAGATTGCACAAAAATCTGCTGTTAGCTTTTGATGCATTAGCCGAAAAATTCTTGAATGACCTGGCATGCTATAATCTGATTGTAGCATCATTATGGGTTTGATTTTATGGAGTTTTGCAGCTTCTTAATAACCTTTAAAAACTGGAATAGTTGCAGGTTTTATCGGTTCATTATTAAATAAGAACTTGAAAGATTTTTCATCACTTTGTTGTCAAGCTGTCGAACGTGATTATCAGGCTTTCCTTTTCTTTTTAAGATGAAATCAGACCCTAAACTTCTCTTGTTGATTTGCAAAAGTTGCAAGTCTCTTAGATTTTATGGAAAAAAAAATTGCAGCCAAAGTGCAGCAGTTTTGCTGCTGCAATCTCTCGACTGTTACAGCAAAATATTGCTGCCAGCGATCTTCCATGGGCTGCCACCGGCTGCCGCTGCTATGTGAGGCCATGGAGGCTTCCTTGGTGGTGGTGGAAGGTTGCCATAGCTCTTGGTGGTTGTGGGTAACAAAATCAAGAGTTTTAAGGCGCAAAAATGCATCAAAAGTGCAGCGTTGTAGCAGCAACCTATGCAAAAAAAAATTGCAGCAGGTTGCTGCAGTAGCTGAGAACCATTGCTGCCCGCGACCACCTGAGAGCTGCTGTTGGGAGCCGCTGCCACTGGTGGTCAGTGAAGAACCCAGTGGTGGTGGCTGGAGAGGTGGTGTTTGTGGTGGTTGCGGTGTTGCTAGAAAACGATTGCAAGAGTAGTTTAGGAAACTAATGTTTTTGAAAATTCGAAATTTTGAACTTTTGGCAATTTTTGAATTTGATTCCAATTTTAATTGTTAAAATGTGTTATGGAATTTAATATTTCATGTTTTATTAGGTTGGGAATTAATTCAAAATTAATTTGATTAATTGGAATATTTCTCCAGTTATTTTCCTAATTTAGTTAGGAATAATGATGACCTAATAAGAGTATTTTTCACCAAAAATTTGCATGTATTTAGTCCCCAAATTTGTTTGGGAGCTTGACAAATTAATCCAAACAATCCATGAATGAATGATTACTATATTTACATGCTTTCTTTAAAGTTGTTTAAATTGCAAGAATGCATGGTGGATGGTTGTGGATATAAAACCCAATTTGATTGTGGATTTATGATTGAATGGTTGTATTTATTTTAAATAGGGTCTGCGTACCCTGCCTCTCTTAATTTCTGGTTGTAATTTCTCTTCTCATCTAAGTCTCCCGAATGTAACTCGGGTTTCTTCTATACTATTTGTAATATATATTAGATAGAAATAGATGACAGGAAATTGTATAATTAGCATAGAAATTGTAACTTGAAGATGAAGAAAAGGAGCCATGCAACAAAGAGGGGATTTTCTCGTGGTTTTCGATTAAACCCTAGTCAACCATTAATGGGAAATTAGTTTAGAAGTATCCACAACCATCCACATTTTAATTTCATGCTTATATATGTTTTTGAAATGGTTATATGCATGTCTATTGATGAGACCAGCAAACAAATTTTTCAAAACTTTAATTACAAAATGTTTTGGAGAAGGAGACAAATCCCTCAAATGCAATATTAAATCAATAATAAAAGTTGCCTTCCATTATAGTATAAAACAGAGTAGTTATTAAGTGCTAGCTTGTTGGGATTCACCCAAGGCTGCCTTACTTACTACATGTTTTTACTATGAGAAATGTTCTCAAGAATGATGGGTACGATTTAACTAAAATTATGGTTTGTTGGGATTCACTCAAGACCATTAATTTTAGAGGCAATGGTTGGGTTAATACATAAAGATGTAAAATCAAGAGTTGATACCTGACTTATCTAGAAATTACAATTAATTTGTAATTGGTAAAGTACCTACCTTTCAAAATTATTTTTGATTTGTTGGGATTCACCCAAGGTCGAAAAAAATTGAGATGGGATTCTAGCCACTATGGATTTTAAGAAAATCCCGAGTCAATTTAAGAGGGTAATTGATTCGAAAAAAAAGTGAAAATAAAATCATAATTTCGAAATTTTTATGATTTTATTAAACAAAATTTTCTCTAACAAACTCTATTTCTATTGTAGAATGAGTAACAATTTGAGCTTCGTACCATTCTCACTGATTGCAAACTTAACGACACAAACTTTCTCGATTGGCATCGCAATGTCCTACTCTTTCTCACTCATGAAAAAATTGAATATGTGCTTGATGGGCCCATGCCCCAGGAACCTGAACCAAATGCTCCTGCTGCTGCTCGAAATGCTTACAAGAAGCATAAGGATGACAATAGGGAAGTTTCATGTATCATGGTAGCCTCCATGATTCCTCAGCTTCAGCAGCAGCACATGAAATGGGGGCATATGATATTGTACAACACCTGAGAGAGTTTTTGAACAACAATCAAGGACGGTGAGATATGATACCTCCAAAGAATTGTTCAGGTGCAAGATGGCAGAGGGAGCACCTGTTGCTCCACACGTCTTAAAAATAATTGGGCTAATTGAAAAATTGGCCGAATTAGGCTTTAAGATGGACCAGGAGCTGAATGTTGATTTAGTGCTCCAATCTCTGCCAGATTCTTTCTCACAGTTTGTTATGAACTTCAGATGAATAATCTGCAGCACACTTTGCCTCAATTGTGAATGTGCTAAAAACTGCTGAGAAAGAAATAAAGAAAGGGAAGGGTCCCACTAATGTGCTTGTTGTTTCCACCTCTAAGAAGAGGAAGAAGCAAGGAAAAGGGTTTAAGAAACATAAACAAGCCTGTCAAGAAGGCCAAGGCAGACCAGTCTAAAGCAACCTGCTTCCATTGTGGACAAACTGGACATTGGAAGAGGAATTGCAAGGCATATCTGGAGAGCCTAAAGCAGAAGAAGCTTGCTGAAGCTTCATCACCTGGTACATATATGATTGAGATTAATGTATCTACTTCCGAATCAGACTCTTGGGTATTAGATACCGGATGTGGTTCTCATATTTGCACATCTTTGCAGGGTCTAAAGGACAGTAGACAACTGGGGAAAGGTGAAGTCACTCTACGTGTTGGCAATGGAGCAAAAGTTGCTGCTCTAGCTGTAGGGACTTATTATATTGCTTTACCCAGTGGACTGATTTTAGAATTATCAAATTGTTATTATGTTCAGCACTCACTACGAACATCATTTCTATTTCCTGTTTGGATTTGAATGGGTTTAGGATAACCCAGGAGAATAAATGTTGTTCTTTCTTTAAAAATGATGTGTTTTATGGTTCTGAAATTGGAATAATGGTTTATATATTCTAAATCTGGATAACCAAATTCTCAATGTGAATAAAAAGAGAATGAGATTAGATAAACTAAACAAAACCTACCTCTGGCACTGTAGACTTGGTCATGTAAATGAGAAACGCATTTCCAAGTTACACAAAGGTGGATACTTGGACTCATTTGATTATGAATCATATGATATATGTGAAGCTTGTTTACTTGAAAAATGACAAAAATGCCCTTTACTGGAAAGGGAGAACGGGCTAGTGATTTACTTGGGCTAGTACATACTGATGTATGTGGTCCAATGTCAATTACAGCTAGAGGTGGATTTTCATACTTCATTACCTTCACAGATGATCATTCTAGATATGGTTATGTGTATTTAATGAAATACAAATCTGAATCTTTTGAAAAGTTTAAAGAATTCAGAAATGAAGTAGAGAAACAAAGGTAAAGTACTATGATCGATCGTGGTGGAGAATACTTAAGTGATGAGTTTCGAGTTTATTTGAAGGATAATGGAATAGTTCCACAATGGACTCCTCCAGGTACACCACAGCTAAATGGTGTGTCTGAAAGGAGAAACGAACCCTATTAGATATGGTACGGTCCATGATGAGCCACTCGAGTGTCCAAAATCGTTTTGGGGATATGCATTGGATACTGCCTCCCATACTCTTAACAGAGTACCCACAAAGGTTGTTGATTCAACTCCATATGAAATATGGAAAGGGAAGAAACCAAATCTATCCTACATGAAGGTTTGGGGCTGCCCAACTTATGTAAAGGTAGAATCGGATAAGTTGATGCTAGATCTGACAAGTGTTTGTTTGTAGGGTATCCAAGAGAGTCTATAGGATACTATTTCTACAACCCAATTGAGCAAAAGGTGTTTGTCTCAAAACATGCTATTTTTCTAGAAAAGAGTTTATTCTAGAAAGAGACAGTGGGAGTAGAATAGATCTTGAAGAAATTCAAGATCATCAAACAAACATTGAGCAACCTGTTGAAGAACAACTTCAGCCACATAATGATGTGCGCATACAGAAGCTGTGGATATACAAGGCCCGTAGGTCAGTAAGGGTACGCTCAGCTCCCAAGAGATATGAATTTCTTATGAGCCAAAGCAATGATATACTAGTCATTCAAGATGACGAACCTACTACCTACCAAGAAGTGTTGGATAGTCCAGACTCCTCCAAATGGTTGGAAGCCATGAATTCCAAATGAATTCCATGTACGACAACAAGGTATGGACCTTGGTTGATCCACCTGAAGGGATAAAACCTGTAGGGTGTAAATGGGTCTTCAAAAAGAAGACAGACATGGAAGGAAATGTGATTACCTATAAAGCTAGACTGGTAGCCAAAGGCTACAAGCAGAAAGAGGGAATCGATTATGATGAAACTTTCTCACCAGTAGCAATGCTTAAGTCCATTCGGATATTGCTTGCAATAGCGGCACATCATGACTATGAGATTTGGCAGATGGATGTAAAAACTGCATTCCTTAATGGAATTTGCAGGAAGATGTGTACATGACACAACCTGAAGGTTTTACATCTTCAAATCCTAGTCAAATATGTAAGCTACAGAGGTCCATTTATGGACTTAAGCAAGCATCTAGGAGTTGGAACATCCGATTCGATGAGACAATCAAAGAGTTTGGATTTCTCAAGAATCCGGATGAACCTTGTGTATACAAGAAGGTTAGTGGGAGTTCAATCGTTTTCCTTATACTATATGTGGATGACATATTAATAATGGGAAACGATATACCAATGTTACAATCAGTAAAGGCTGGTTGTCAAAGAACTTTTCCATGAAAGATTTAGGAGAAGCAACCTATATATTAGGCATTAAGATCTATAGAGATAGATCTAAAAGGCTGCTTGGTCTTTCACAATCTACATACATAGATAAAGTGCTAAAGAGGTTTAGCATGGATCAGTCCAAGAAGGGCTTTGTACCTATGACTCATGGTATAAGCCTTTCTAAGAGCATGTGTCCTAAGACACAAGTTGAGACTAATAAAATGCGTACTGTTCCATATGCTTCGGCAATTGGATCAATTATGTATGCTATGTTGTGCACAAGACCTGATGTCTCCTATGCTCTGAGTGTTACGAGCAGATACCAGGCTAATCCAGGTGAGGGTCACTGGACAGCCGTTAAGAACATTCTTAAGTACTTGAGAAGGACTAAAGATTTGTTCTTAGTATATGGAAAAGGTGAGTTGGAACTTAAGGGCTATCTGATGCGAGTTTTCAGTCGATAAAGATGACTATAAGTCGCAGTCAGGTTTCATTTTTACTCTTAATGGAGGTGCTGTATGTTGGAAAAGTTCCAAACAGGACACCACAGATTCTACAACAGAGGCTGAATACATTGCAGCCTCGGAAGCAGCTAAGGAAGCCGTTTGGATTAAAAAGTTCGTGACAGAACTTGGTGTGGTTCCAACCATTGTTGATCCAGTTACTCTGTACTGTGATAACAATGGAGCTATTGCTCAAGCAAAGGAACCTAGGTCTCATCAGCGATCCAAACATGTACTTAGAAGATTTCACTTAATTAGAGAAATCATTGCCAGAAATGACGTAAAGATAGAGAGAGTCCCACAGAGGATAACATAGCTGATCCTCTCACTAAAGTTCTTTCTCAAAAGAAACATGAAAGTCATGTATTATCATTTGGACTGAATGTCATGAATGAAGTGTTTTAGTGCAAGTGGGAGATTGTTGGAATGTATGCCCTAAAACAATGATTTTGTTTAATACATTCCTTATTATGTTTTGTATTTTAATAACTTCTTCTTTATCTGTTAAATGCTAGATATAACTGATAAAGTCCTTAGAATACTTACTAATGATGGTGGTCACAAGTGTTGATGATATAGATATCAATCACATTTAAGTAATATTCTTAAATTTCTCTAGTCATAGTACTAATGAGATAGACATCATTAGTACGGAAAGACTAGTACACAATTAGTCTCTACTTAATGTAAGTAGTGGTTGTTCTCATCAACCATGGTATATAGATACCTAGGTTAATGTGTAGATGATTTGTAAAGTACAAATACATTGGAATGATCCGCTTAGAGATCCCATTAGGATATCTATCTAGTGCCAATGGTTGTATCTCTTGTGGTAAGTTATGTAAATGATCTACGACTTGAGATCACCATAGTATCTTGAGTGTGAATCACTACATTTTGACTCTATTGCTTGTTACTCATTAAGAGTGACTTAGAAACAGAGATTGGGTGTAGTGTGAAGCACGGAAAGGTAATGAGTGATCAAGATAGGATTCACCACTCCGATAGTAGGAGTTGATATCCGGATGGCCACTAGTAGGAAATTAACCCTAAAAGGTCGACTACATTAGGTTAATTGAAGAATATTTCAAGTTAACCTAATCTAGGGTTAATTCTGGAAACTAGTAAATTTAATTAGTCATTAAGGAATTGGCACTTATTCCTTATTCCTTGACTAATTGGATATCGAGGTGAAAGGATAATAATTACATGGTAACTTCTCATGGAAAGGTTAGGTCAAAATTTCTTGACTAATTCCGGGTACTTGGGTGGTCATGATGTGTTGCTAGACACTCATGATTTATAATTATGAATTAATTAATTATTGTAATTAATGATAAAATAAAGTTGTTTATTTTATCTAATTCCTTTTGGAATTATAAGTCATAATTATTGCCAATGTATTTGGAGCCTATTGGATCACACGCATTAGAGTTTTGATTCTGGATTAAAATTATGTGTCCAGTGAAGACTTGAAATAAAGTATAAGATACTTTCGGATTTAATTACAAAGAAAATAAATTCCAGGCCTATTTGAGCATTAGGAGAAAATAGTTATCTCCATCTATCAGATAGCTGAAGGATAGAGTTTGTTATTGGATAAAAAACCTATCTCTTCCTTTTTTTTCTTTCTACGAATCTTATCTCTATTAGAAATGAAAAACCTATGACTCTCTCAAGGGAAAAATAGGTTTTGGCATACATAGAGAGTGGAGGAAAAAAAGTGTGTGACATACATAGAGAGAAAAATATAGACAAGGAAAAGTGAAAAGAAAGGCTGGCAACTTTCATCACTTTCACACATATATCGTAGAGACGATCCAGATATCACTCTCGCGTGATTTCGGTAGAGGCAGGACATTGGACTGCTCAAGGGTTGTTCGTCTTCTCCAATTCGGCAGAGGAACATCACACAGATTAAGGTAATCTTTTTTCCCTCTCTTCTTGAACCATACGCAAAATCTAGGGTGATCCTTGAGTGGGTTTTTGGAAAAATTTTTAATTTCCACTGCCTTTCTGTCCCAAAAACCTATCACCTTGACCC